ACAAATGCTAGCTAGTTTTTTAGGTGTCTTACCTATCCTCACCCCTCCCTTGTGTGCTCTCGCTTTTATCATGTGCTCAAAGTCCAATCCCCTTGTTGTGTTTGCCCTTGATCTAATGTCCACATATGAGGGAGAACATACGATTTTTGGTCTTTTGGGCCAGGCTAACCTCACTCAGAATGATGTGCTCCAATTCCATCCATTTACCAGCGAATGATAACATTTCGTTCTTCTTCATGGCTGCATAAAATTCCATTGTGTATAGATACCACATTTTCTTAATCCATTCATCAGTAGTGGGGCATCTTGGCTGTTTCCATAACTTGGCTATTGTGAATAGTGCCGCAATAAACATGGGTGTGCAGGTGCCTCTGGAGGAACCTGTGTCACAGTCTTTTGGGTATATCCCCAAGAGTGGTATTGCTGGATCAAATGGTAGATCAATGTTTAGATTTTTAAGTAGCCTCCAAATTTTTTTCCAGAGTGTTTGTACTAGTTTACATTCCCACCAACAGTGTAAGAGAGTTCCTTTTTCCACACATCCTCGCCAATGCCTGTTGGTGGTGGTGTTGCTGATGATGGCTATTCTAACAGGAGTGAGGTGAAATCTTAGTGTGGTTTTAATTTACATTTCCTAAATGGCTAGAAATGGTGAGCATTTTTTCATGTGTTTTTTGGCCATTTGAATTTCTTCTTTTGAGAAAGTTCTGTTTAGTTCACTTGCCCATTTCTTTATTGGTTCATTAGTTTTGGGAGAATTTAGTTTTTTAAGTTCCCTATATATTCTGGCTATCAGTCCTTTGTCTGCTGTGTAGCTGGCAAATATTTTCTCCCACTCTGTAGGTGTTCTCTTCAGTTTAGAGACCATTTCTTTTATTGAGCAGAAGCCTTTTAGTTTTATGAGGTCCCATTTATCTATGCCATCTCTTAGTTGCTATGCTGCTATACTTATTAATTCCAGAGTATTTCCTACTCTTTCCTGTACAAAAACTCTTGATTAAGTCCCAAATTGGACTACAAGTTTCATGCATAGGCAAACAACATTTCACAGGGATTTTTAACATGACACACACAAAAACCTAAAGTAGACCTAGAAGAATTTCTGGCTTGTAGTAATAAAGGCATTGGTCCTTCTTGATCAATGTTCTTACCGTAATTTTTATAAACTATTGAAAAAATGTTTAAAAAATAAAAACCCTCTGAAGGTATCAGAAAACAACAGGGTTCAAAACTGAAGAGGAAGAAGGGACCCAGTCAATGAATTTCTCACACTTGTGGCTATTGTCTGAGGATTAGAACAATATTCACTCTAAAACTCACTCTTAAATACTTTCATGGCCACACCCTCTTCACAGAGAGGTGTATAGGTGGCGGGAGGTTTCAGGGAGTGCCAGAGCAGAAAACAGGCATTTTATTTCTTAAGATTGCAAGTGATCTCTACTTCAGAACAACTGTACCTAAGAATTCACAAATAGTTCATGCCAACACCTGTGTGTTGTATTGTTGGGACAAACCAAAGCTGATCTTGGCTTGCTGTTTAAAACTTCTCTAAATGTTCGCATGGCTGTTTATTAAACCTGAAGCAGAAACATACGATGATTATTCATAGCAACAGGGAGAGTGTTCATCACAGCAGCTTCAACCTGAAGTTTTCCTACACGAGGCCAGTAGCTAACTCTGAGTCACTTAACTACAAGTTTTTAGCACACAAAAGTGAAATATATGAATATGTTAATACTTAAGATTTGAATTAAGGTTGGTTTTTAGTTGTGCAGAAATAAACCTGGCACATTGTCACACACTGCGAGAATGGGTTTGGATACTCTTTCGTGCCCTTGAAGCTTGACCTGTATGACATGACACACAACCCATGACAGGAGCATGGGACTTGGCATTGTCCACAGGGGCTCAGGAAATCTATTTAAACCACATCGAAGGAGAGTCTCAGAGATATCTGGGCAGCTGCCCCCTATATGATATCTGGACAAGTATCTGAAGAAGACAGACTATCATGGTACCTGCAGGGCACCAGGACATCAGTGGAGCAGGGGCTGAGCACCTCACTCCCCATCTTGGAGCTCGCAGATCTCATGGTAAAGGGGCAGTTGGGCAGGTGGATGGTTTTCAAACAGAGCCTGGGGAGCTCCAGGGTAGAGATCTAGGCTCCTGTGGAGGACACTGAAGAAGGGGACAAGAAGCCAGGTCTGAGATTCTTCTCCATGTACTCCAAGACTCAGTGCAATGTGGACTAGTGTCCCAAGGACTGAGCTTATCCCAGGGACAGGCTGGCCACTGGCAGTGTCTTGTGAATGTTATGGACAAAGGAGTCTGGGAGCAGGCCCATGCCAGGCCCAGTCATCTAAGTACACTGCTGCTGCCATGTCTTCCCCCAAAAGGGACAACGGGGACCTGGGACATTGCTTGTCAGTGTCCAGAAGCTTGCTGCACTTTGGCTCTCTCCTCCCTCCGGGGATCTGGGAATTCAAGAAGGTCTATATGCTTAATTAGCACTGTTGCTGCAACTTATAGAAATAACCAGGCAAATGACAACAAGAGCAGCATTTTTTTGTGATCAAGAATAATCTTTTATAAGCATGTGTGCATACTCACAGTAGTGAAGATGGGGATGCCCTGAATGAATAAAGAAATATATATATATATATATATATATATATATATACACACACACACACACACACACACACAAATATAAGGGAGTACTATTCAGTCATAAAAAGGATGAAATCTTATCCATTGTGACAACATGGAGGTACCTAGAGGACATTATGCTAAGTGAAATAAGCCAGGCACAGAAAAACAAATACTACATGATCTCACTCATATGTCAAATCTAAAAACAGTTGCTATGATGGAACTTGAGAGTAGAATGGTGGTTACCAGAGTCTGGGCAGTGTAGGAAGGGGTGGATGGGGAGATGTTGGTCAGTGGGCACAGTATTACAGTTCTAGGGGAGGAAGAAGTTCTGATATTCTGTTGCACAGTAGGGACTGTAGTTACTGATAATACAGTGTGTATCTCAAAATCGCTAGATGAGAGGATTTTGAAGGTACTTGTATGAATAAATGATAAAGCCAGTGAAGATAGTAAATCCCCATTTGATCATTATATAATGTGTAAATAAATAAAAACATCACAATGTACCATACAAATATGTATACTTATATGTGACAATTCCAAAGTAGAAAGAGAGACAGGAAGGTTGGCATACCCAATGGGGTGATATGTGGTGGAGCTGAGGGAGTGAAGACAAAGCCAGAGTGGACAACCCAGGAAGGTAGAGATGACAGAGGCATACAACACCGTGATGGAAAGTTTCAGGCAGTGTGAAAACCAGCTTCAGAGAGCAACCTTGTGGGCTTTGGCCAGCAAAGCCACAGAGGTGGGAATGACCACACCTTTGAGAGGCCACACCACATCACAGTTTGCTCCAGATGTCAGACAAGGAGCTTTAGGATTTAACATTTGCCCTACTGGGTTTCATTCTTACTTTGGGCTAAAGCCCTCTTTTCATTTCCCTATCCCTCCCTTTTGGAATAGCAATGTTTTCCCTATCTGTCCTGAAATTGTATCTTGTGTGACTTTTTGTTTTTATTTTTCTCACAACTGAGTTAGCCTTGAGTCTCTCATGAGATTTCATTGTGGTAACTCCTTACATGTATATAGTGTAGTTGGAACAAGTTCGCCCTCTCCATTACATTCCCAATACCTCCTCCCTCCACCCCTGCTTTTCAAACAGTGTTGATGGATTTCACTATTCTGTCTGTGAACATATACATGTAGTGTATTTTGATCCTCTTCCCCCTCACTCTTTCTCCCTTCCCCTCCCATTGATCACCCCAGACCATCTCCCTTTCACATTCATGTCCCATTGTCATTATTATTATCACCATGACTTTGACTTTTGAGCAATGCTGGAATAGTTGAATTTGGGACTCTTAGGGGTGGAATTAATGCATTTTGCATTGAGACAGAACTTTGGGCAGGGGAAGAATGCTATAGCTCAGATCTGGAGGGTCTTACAGAGGCCCAGGTGGTAAAGATTTGGTCCTGGCATGACACTTGAAGCTTTAAGACTTAATGGGAGATCTTTAGGTCAGGGGGAGTGTGCCCTCAAAGGGGATTATTAGTCCCCAGTGTCTGTAGGTCTATCTATCTCTCTTTCCTCCTGATTCAAGATATCATCATTTGTTTGCACTTATACCTGGCACTCCTGCTATGATGTGTCACCTTCTGCCATTCTCACCAGAACTGAGCCAATGCAGGCATCAAGCCTTTGAACCTCTAAATGTGAGAGAAATAAGATTGTTCTCTTCTCAGGTGTTTCATGTACTAAGGCTAAACAACTCATACAGAATGTTAGAAAAACACTAGGTATATTTGGTATCTCTGCAATATTTTGTAAGAATGTGAATTTGTGTTAATCCACTTTCAGTTAACTGTAACAATTACCTGGGATACATTGGCTTACAAAGAGGATTGGTTGATTTAGGCCCAGTGTCTGAAGCTTCAGTCCATGGTCACTGGACTCTAATGCATGGGGCCTGTGGTGAGGCATCAGGTCATGGTAGGAGCACATGGTGGAAAAAACTCACTTCATGGTGTCTGGGAAGCAAAGAGAGAGTAGAAGAGACTGGGTGCCAATGTTACCTTCAGTGTGACATAACTTCTTCCCACCTCTACCTCCCAATGATGCCAAGGGCTGAGGACCAAGCCTTTAATACAGGAGTCTTTGGAGGACATTCAGGATCCAAACTACAGCAGTAACAGTGGTTATTTCTGAGTGATGTGATTACAAGTGGTTCTTTTCTTATATGTGAATGTGTGTACATGCAAGGTACATGAGTATGCATTAAGAGAATCTGTGCATTACTTTCATAGCTAGAAAATATAATTTCACAATAAATAGATGTAAAACCAATGAAGAAAACACCTAAGAAATGTAATTTATATGAATTTATTGATAAATTCTTAGTTGTAAGAAACATTACAGAAAATACATTTGCCCAGCACAGTGCTTTATCAAATGCAGATCCACCTGGCACAGCAGTGATTATTCTCTCAAATACACCACCCATCAAGCTCATAGCATTATTCTTTTCTTCAAGGTCAGAAATGACACAATGTTCTCAAGGAATCCAAACCATTCAATTATACCAAGTACACCCTAAAAGTGCAGGTTTCGTTCTTTACACATACAAAGTGACACCTGTGAAGCATGAACATGAATGAGGAATGACCATCACTGGGGAAAGAACTGACCACAAATCTATAGCAAAAAGATGATAATGTTATCATCCAAAGTGTGGGGGGATGGGAGTAGCATGAGACCTTTGAATCTGTGGTAAAGAGGCCACCTTGCTAAGAAAGTCAAAGAAAGTGCCAACTTTTCTCTGTCATATCTCACATGACAGGTATAGTCAGATTAAAGACTGGAGAAGAAGGATGCACATTCAATATTTTACCTAGAGGTATGATCAACTGGATACTTTTTATTTTTAAACAGTGCTCTGGGGATGTCTAACTTACGGCAAAGTACTTCCTTGATAAGAATAAAATGAATTTAACACTGATTTTGCTTTCAAGTGTGCAACTGATTGAGAATATGTTGAAATTTCCCTTTACTTCCCACCCACTTCTCAGTGAGTCTTGGATTTGTGGGCTTTCTTAACTCGCCCCTTTTTCCCAAAGCATTTCCGGAAGACATAGGCACAAGATTTAAAGATGATGAAGGCCACTGTCAGCACGATGGCCAGGAGGAAGCCAATCACATCCAAGGAGTGGTACTGGTACCAGGTGAGGTCATGGGCTGCAGGGCGCAGGTGTGGGGCCCCCTTGTGTCTCATCACGTACTCCACCCAGAACACAGCCAGGTCCAGTGGCTCTATGGGACGGTCTTTGTGAAGGCTGGAGAGGCGCATGATGTTCTCCTTGTAGCTAAATGCAAAGACAGTTACGTGAACACCCGGAACACCCGCAGCAATGCACAGCCTTCCCTTAGGCTGCTTCCAGTTAGTAACACTGGCCGGTTGTCTAAACTTGGAAGAGAAATGGGTTTCTGTTGTAACCAGAAAGCACACACACTTACTACCCTTTATGTGTAAAAGGAATAGTAGGAGAAGAAATGGGAGGAAGAGAAATACAGACATGGGGAAGGAAACAAGTAAGGAACCTGAAGCCAAAACTTTAGTTTTACAAATATTTAGTCCTTGCTTCCTACTCTAATTTTAGTGGTATTTTCACAGGAATTTAGATTACATTTTCTTTATAGTAACATAAGGAACTAAGAATTTTGTCAAACATTACATTGTCCTTTATAGCAAAAGAAAGAAATATAGTTTCTTTATAGTAAAATAAAGGAGAAATTATGGATGGTTCTCCCACTTGAGGATACAGTCAATCCAATCTAGTAAAGCAAAAGCCACTGCAAAGGGTCGACTCCAAGCTGGTGATATGCTTTCACTCAAATCCTTAAAATATCAAACACCTGAGAGTTAAATTTAGCATAAGATTGTGTCTTAGGTGAAATGGATCCTTGTTTATTTTATACAGTGTGGACAGTTGAATTAGAACAACTAAATCTAAAGTGAAGTAGACACTTTAACTCTTGGTGTGGACACATTAGAAGTAGAAGATGGAGGAGGAGGAGAATGAAGAGGAGGAAAAGAACAAAAATAAGGGAAAGAAAGAGAAAAATAAGAAATTCCCATATTCTGGACAGATTAGGATCACTGCTGTTCTTACACATATCTGTAATTTTATTTGGAAACATAATTATAACATAATATTAATTTATGGCCATACGTCCTGGTAAACATCTTCCTTTGATATAAATCTTCTCTGGTGATAGATTTTCTTAGAACTTCCTATCATAATTCAATATTTAAAGAGCACCTGCTATGGCTTGGTTGTCTGCATAAAGTGATGCTATTCTAAAGCCTCAGGGAGAAGTATCTTAGAGGTCCCAGTGCTGGGAAAGCTATACTTGTAAGCACCTGGTTTGTTTTATCTTATGTTTGCCATGCTTCTTTTAATGGAGTAGTTCTCTCTTTGCGGGAATGAAGTGATTAGTCTATTGTGGTGATCTGTTTTTTATAGATTGAGGTATTAAATCTATTAGGAAAAATAAAATTTTAAATAAATTCTATGATAAAAGAAAGATACAGGAACTATTACTATTCACTTTATAAAAGTGAGTAATAATTACCCCAAATTATTTTATTTATAAATCTAGATTTTTTAGTAATACGGGGTATTTTTTATCAAAATACATTATATGCATGTGCATCACAAAGAAACACTTTGTACAATTAACATACACTCAAAAAAACGAGAAAAAGGTAAATCTAGATTTCTATGCATTTGTTTTCACATTAGAATGTTCATTACAAATGCTATGGAAAAGTGCAGGTAGAATCCCCCTTTACCTTCTCTCTTACCTTTTGTCATAGATGACTGCTTTGAGAGCATTTGCTAAGTCATCAGAAGTCATTTCAAGGACATTCAGGGTCACACCAGCTCCCCGGGTCTCCATGCGTTTTGCATTGTCCATCTGGTCACCAAACAAGGGCATCATCACCATTGGAACACCATTGCATATTCCTTCATAAATACCATGGGAACCAGAGTGTGTGATAAACGCACGAGTCTTTGGGTGACCTAGGAAGCAAAAGAGGGCAGGAGGTTAGTGGTCTAGTCACTGAATTTTCCAGTTTGATATTGTCAAGATTCTGAAAACACCATGCTAACTCATTCATGTCCACATATGACCCTTGTAGAAAAGCACAGAAAAAAAAATGTAGGTTGATACCCTACAGATAAAAGGCAATGTGGGATAAGTTGACCTTAACTGCAAGCTAAACAGTCCTTTAGAACAGCTGTGCCTAAGCCATTTACTTAAGGTTTTGACCTGTAAGTCAAATCCTCCAACATACCAAGCAGATCATTTTGGGGTAACCACTTGACAAGTATCGTATTCTTGGCAAGATTTGATGGTCGACTTCCAGTGTAGCGCCACAGGACCTTGCGGGGACAAAAAAGACAGGGTTTAACAGAAGAACACGATATGTTTTTTTTTTTTTAAATCTACACTAGCTAGAAAAAACCTGCTGTAGTAACAGTGTGTGCATGCTTCATTAAGCATTCTATTAAGCTTTGTATTCTTAATTTTTGTAGTAAAAACCATAGTAAAGTTTATTAGGAAAGAAACTTAATAAAACAGGATGAAAGTGGGAGAAATGGAAAAAAAGAGAAACATTTCCTGCCCTGGGAGTCTATTCTTAATTCACTACTAACTCCTCCTTTGACTTTTTATACCTTGAACTAATATTTTAGGGCTGCTATACTTATGCTTATCTTTATGCCTTTTTAGGGTTTGCTGAAGATGGTGGCATACAGGCTGAGTTGGCAAAAGATGGTAAGGTTTGTTGGGGGTTATAGAGTATAGAACAGGTACAGTCCTTTGAGTGAAAAGAATGACATGACCTCTGCACAGGTGAGAGGTTCGGTGACTAAGATGGCTTCTGGGACTGGAGACATTCTGCATTTTTCTCTGAGGATTACTAATGAGGGTGTGCTCCATATGTGACCACTTTAGTAGCCATCACACTCTACACTTAATGATTTTTTTCACTTTTCTGCACTTCAAGGGGAAGTTTACTTAATAAAACAGTTCGATGCCAAACTATGTAAGCAAAGGTTATATAACCACAAATTTTTTGTTTGGAATATATTCCTATTAAACATAAGAAACAATATCATGTTTATTTTAAACTAAATTTTCCCTAACATTTTTATTCTCTCAGAGAAAAAACAAACTCCTGAGTGAAGTGAACCATGGTTTAAGAATAGTTGAGTTAAACTGAAGATTAAAAAAACAAAAAAAACACTTCTGATTAGCAGTTGGGAGGTGGCAGGGGATACCCAAATGTAAAGTTCCAACTGATGAAGTCCATTTAGATCTTGGAAGTGTGGGATTGGCTCTCCTCTGAAGGTAGTTATGAAGGAATCATATAGAATCTTCTTACCGTCTGAGGTATTTTGCCCAAAGCATCGGCAATTTCCATAGCTTTCTTCTCTGGAATCTCGGAGACCATTGATCCCAAAGAGAAAACCACAATTCCATGCTCTCCAGAGGCGTTAACATAGGCTTCGAATTCCTAGAGCCAGAAGAGAATTTTCTGGATCACTTGTTTTCTCAAATTCTTTGGTGACTTCATAATTAAGCTCTGAGTTAGATACATTCTTGTTGTTAAGAAAGTGGTTAAAGGTGTGTGTGAAATAAAAACAAAAATTATTTTTTAAGACAGGGTCTAACTACATAGCCCAGTTTGGCCTTGAGTTTGTGAGTCTCTTGCCTCTGCCTCCCACGTGCTGGGAGTACAGGCATGTGCCACCATGTCCAGCTAAACAAAAATTACTGATGTGGGAGTTTTGTAGCACCTATCCCTCCTTTACTATTTTCCAAAGGAGGGACTTTCTTGCTTACAGGGTTATCTGTGGGATTTCCTTGGGATGAAGAATGTAGATAATGTGCTAAACTTCCAAAAGAAAGTAAAGGCACACACACACACACACACACACACACACACACACACACACACATGCATCCATGTATGTGTGCCCATGGTGCACTTACACACAGTAACAGACCCCTTGAGTGAATGCCCAAGGAACAAATGAGATTATGCCATATGGTGGGTTTTCTCATAACTGAAAGCTTCTCTAGGACATGGTACTTCTGGTTCCCCAGATGTGACATACAGATACTTCTGAGAGAGCTCAGCATGCATGACTTGAATTATGAGCTCTGCAAAGCACAACCCTGAACACTACTGGGAAAGCCCAGAGGCTAGCCTTCCCTGAGGTGGGTTCCCTCTCCCACTCGCCCCCAGGCTAGCCCTCTGAAGTCTTCCGGCTCATCACAGCAGCTGAACATTTGCCTTACCCACTGGACATATTTAATGGGTAAGAAAGGTAGGAACTCCTCCTTTCCACCATCCCACTGTATTTTTGGTTTGTTGCAAGAACTTCCTGAGGATGGTTGTTCTGTGCAATCTTTCTTCCTAGAGTCACACCACCTCTCTCTTGCTCCCCCTTCTGTCTTTCCTGAGGAGAGGAAGATTAATTTTCAGTGCTTTTTATCTCATTCTATTGTGCAATGGTATAAGGCTGACATATAATCCATCGGAACTTTTACTTCTTCAGGGTATATTAAATTGCTTCTGAAAAGGGACTGGTCTAATTTCCCTTTCTATATACCCTCCTATGCCCACTCAGCAATCAGCAGGATGTGATTAACACAAAGTCAGACACACTAATCCACAAACATACAAAAGTGAATAGCAGAGTTTAACTAAAGCTTAAATGGCTTGCAAAGTTTATGTACAGAGGGCAGCAGAGCAAACAGCAGACATTGTAGAATGGTGTCCAACGCCTGGGTCTGCATCAATTTTATGGATTTAATAAAGTTAAAATCTATGTACTACTGGGCAAAATTTCCCTTAAACTTTGCCCTGACTTCACAATCCCTGGAATTTCCAAAGGGTAAAGCAGTATGTTATTTGAAAATAACCATTGATTTCCCACCCCAAACACACACTTGTCCCCTTTTTAAAAAGATGAGGACCCCCTGAAAGGACTTCTCTGCTCTGAGATACTCCCCCTCACACACACACACACACACACACACACACACACACACACACACATATGCACACACAAGAGGAGACCTTTAATAGCTTAAAAGAACTTAATAGCTCCTAAGTTCCACTGAAGAATTTCCTTTTGTACACCTCTTTTGCTTTTCTGGAATCCACTTAGAGTATATATTGGAGACATGTTACTTAACCATTTTGCATTCTGAGTCAAACATACATACTTCAAGTATATTTTGGTTCTCTGAAAGGTGCCTCAAATCCAACACTCTGCTTACGGCACTTAATGCTTGTTCCATTAAACTGATTACTAGCCACTGAAGGTCATAGAACAAAATGCCCAAAACATGTTTTCCCCAAATCTTAGACACAAAGAACTAACTCCAAAGATGATGGCAAAGACAGACAAACTCAAGTCTAGGAGACTTGTGAGCTAGAACTTAATAAAACAGAACATTGAAAATGATCTCAACCTGTTTTCTAAGCATATACGTACTTTATCTGAAGTACTTGCTATTGCATACACAGGAATATAAAAATCCCACTCAAATACACACCTTGGGTATTGGGCTTTTGTGAAGGCAGTTTATCCCACCAATAAAAACCATGCTGGGCATGATGGGCCTGGGGTAATCCTTCACAAAGTCCTCTCTCATTAGCCAGATAGACGCAGAGCTCAGAAGGTCCTGCACAGTCACATCTCTCTGAAGGACTTCTGAGGCAAGTAGTGCGTAGGGGGAGTAAACCACACTGCACAGAAAGTTCTCTGCCAGAGCAATGAGCACATTCTTCACTCGCTGCAGGAAGGTCATGTGATCGGGATTTAAGGAAAAAATTGTGGGCACATAGGACAGTGGTCTGGGACACTGGGTAGCTTTAAAATCCAGGCCGCATGGCAACGCATGCAAGAAATACAAAGAAGGCAGAGCCAGGAACTGAGCCACAATGGAGCCGCAAGGAAGGAAAGGGTCCGTCAGCACAGCGTCGAAGTTGCCTTCCTGCAGGGAGGCCATAAACTCCTTATTGTGCAGTAACTGGGTGCAGCAAGACAGAAACATAGCAGAATCCTTTCTGACTTTTTTGTACAGTTTGACCATACGCTGAAGGAAAGAATCATTCTCAAAAACACTGTGCCCAAGTTCCACAAAAGTAGTTTGCAAGTCTTCCTTTTGGAAGGGCACAGGGTACTTCTTCAAGCTGTAAAACGATCCTTCTTTTATGTGCACTGAGCTGTCAGGTGCAATGACCACTACCTCATGTCCCCTCTGCTGAAGCTGCTGGGTGACTCCAAGCATGCTCAGCCAGTGGCTACCATCCATTGGGATCAACAACAGCTTCCCAGCATGGGACACAGAAGGGCCCAGCACACATAGTAGCAGGCCCAGGACAAGCAGATGTAGGCCCTTGGATGCTGCAGTCATGGCACCCCAGCCTTTGCTCCTGCTACTGGTCTACCTTTGCCTGCTCACATGTAACAAGTACCAATCCTTAACCCTGGTTAATATTTGATTGTGTCCCATGACGAAAGCTGTCGGTCCACAGGACTACAGGAAGTTTACTTTCTGAGATGAAGAGGGTGGAGCTTTAACTGAGTTTCTTATTAGGCAATGAGAGTTGAATTCCTTCCTCAAATCACATTCTTTCTTTGTTTTTCTTTTGTGGTACTGGGGTTTGAACTGAGGGTCTCATACTTGCTAAGCAGGTGCTCTACCATTTGAGCCATACCACCAACCCACCCTGTATTGTGTTCGGTATATTTGAGATAGGGTCTCTAGAACTATTTGTCTAGGCTGGCTTCAAACCGCAATCCTCCTAATCTCTGCTTCCTGAGTAGCTAGGATTACAGGTGTGAGTCACCAGCACCCAAGTCAAATCTGTGCTCAAATCATTCTTGAATGAGCACAGAAAACAAAATGTCTCCAGTACTTTTAGATTTATTAAGTTAAAATTTTTACAGTTCAAGAAACTGTTACCAGAGAAGAAAAGGGACCATGAGGTGACAAAGTATACTTCATTTCCAGAAACAAAACAGGAAGTTTCTCTGAAAGTTTTTTGGAAAGAAAAGAGTACAACAGTACGACCTATTTGCCCATAGAAACCCCTAAATCAGTCTCTTGCCTCCCCAGAGCTCAGGCACCATAAAGAGAGACAGACTCACAACTGAAATTGATAAACCATGATCTTAGAGATTTTGAAATGTGATAAGAAAGAAATGAGTAGGGTCTTGCTGGGGTAGAAAATGACTGGAAGAGGAAATCCACTTGAGTAGTTGTGCTTCCAAGGACAGAGAGAATGTTCTATAAATAGAAAAATCAAACTAGATGAGCAAACTAAGCATGTTCAATTGTACTCATTACATTGACCCAATGTCCCGTGGAAATTCTGTAAACAAAATAAGAATTTGTACCTATGAAGCATGTACTATGTATGGTCCCGCTAAGCACTCCACAATACATCTTAAATAATCTGTCTCACAGAGGCAGATAGAATTTTCCTCATTTTACAAACAAAAGCACTGAAGCTGAGAAAAGCAAAGTGATTTGCCAGAGTCCTGTGTTAACTAAATGGCAGAGCTAAGACGTAGGCCTTGGATGTTGGTGTCTGAGCCCTTGCTCTTAACAACTCCTCATGAACTCCAGTAGTACCCAGAAAATGATGTGACAGTTCCTGATTAAAATTTACAATCAGTTAAAAGTCAAAATGAAAGCTGTGATCCCCATATCACTGAAATAAATTAAAAAATGGCAGATGGAAGGACTTTAGGGCCAAGAATAAGATGTTCACACACCACCAAGCATGGGTGGGCAGTAAAGTACATGGAGACTAGGGGGAGGGGGAGAGCAAGGGATAGATATTCAAGTGCAATGCTCCTTCTGAAGAGTGGACAAGCCAGAGTACAGACAGGACTGAGTATTGCACTCTTTTCTTTTGGGATCCAGTGCTTTCCTATACAATTCCAGGATGAAAGTGTCAACCCCAACATTTTAACCATGGACAAGTAGACAAGCATTGACCACCCATACTTGGGGATAAGGTGCAAGGGTTGTGAAGACAATGCTAACTTTAATGCTTTACACACTTCAACAGGACTCCTCTCATTCTGGTTAGAATCCTTTTGCCTTGGACCTTCGTCCTTCCTCAATAACCTCTAGTCTGGCATGTACACACACACACACACACACACACACACACACACACACACACACACCTGTGTACACATGCACCCAGATGACCTCCTTACACACCTCCAGAACTCTTCAAGGAGGGTGAGCAGAAATGATATAGCAATGCTTTTGCTGTGATGTACCCTTATCTGAAATTCACAGCCCAAGTTAAACTTTAAGATCAATAATTCTTGATTATTCTTCTGAAGTCCCAAAGTCCCTAGAGTCCATCTGTAAATTATAAAGAGCAAAGGGGGCTGGTTAGAAACAATGTAGTGATTTTATGACTTTCTGGCAATTATACAGAGACTTATCAGTTTTTTTTTTTTGATGGTGTGGAAGACTGAACCCCAGGATCTCACCATGCAAGCAAGTGCTCTACCACTGAGCTATGCCCTCAGATCTGCCATGTACCTGGATGGTTTGAAACCCCAACTCTGCCCCCAATCAGGAACATTGTTTATTAATCTGAATAGAAGGAAAACCACATTTATTCTCATTAATTATGAGAACCACTGCTAAGCAATCTAAAGAAGCTTCTTCCTTGGAACCTGAGTAGACATGACACTTAAAACCAATTGCAAATTCCCTCATTCAACAAATAATGGTGGAGCATGCGAGATCTACCATGTGCCAGGCATTATGCTATAGTCTGGCGCCAAAAAACCAAAATTAGAAATGGCCCCTGCCTATAAGTAGTAGTCCAGGGGGCAGACAAACTTACAATCAGATAATTACAGGACAGAGTGACATGTTCTTAGATGGCTGAGGAAATGAGGAACAGGACAGCAATGTTTTCTTGCTTTTGAGAGCTACTGAAGTGTCCATGAAAGGTCCCTGGAACCAATTTGGGACTGTGTCACGAGAGGTAAAATGACAGCCCGCGATTGGCGGGCAGCCCCAGTTATGTGTGAGCACGTTTTGCCCCTGCAGCTTGACCCCCAGTGCCATGTACAGGCGAGGCAGGGGGATTGTGCTTTCTTTTAAAGCTGAAACTAGAAGTTAATAATCCCACCACTCGGGACACTCTTAACTCCTTTGATTGGACAGAATTGAGGAGTTTGTTACTAAAGGAACAACACAGGTGCTCCACTACCCTGTGGATCATCTACAGAACCCTCCAGGGGAAACAAAGCCCTCATCCTCAAGTCACTGCACTTTGTTCTGTACTGCCTTTCACCATTTAACAGTTCACATACTTGTCCTTGCTACTAGGCCATACATAAATATAAACACTCCTTATAGGCAGGGTTTTATTTTTTTTAATTTATTTTTTAAATTTTATTCATATGTGCATACAATGTTTGGGTCATTTCTCTCCCCTTCCCCCAACCCCTCACTACCAGGCAGAAACTATTTTGCCCTTATCTCTAATTTTGTTGAAGAGAGAGTATAAGCAATAATAGGAAGGACCAAGGATTTTTACTAGTTGGGATAAGGATAGCTATACAGGGAGTTGACTTGCATTGATTTCCGATGCATGTGTGTTACCTTCTAAGTTAATTCTTCTCAAAATAACCTTTTCTGTAGTTCCTGGTCCCCTTCTCCTATTGGCCTCAGTTGCTTTAAAGTATCTTATAGGCAGGGTTTTAGCTTTGGAATCAGTTGCCAGGTGCCAGTCCTGGTGAGCCAGACAGTAAGCACTCAGTAAATGTTTCTGCAAAGATTGATTTCACTTCTCCCTTTGTTCTAGACTCCATATCCAAGCAAGTAAGTACTGAACCAAGATGATTCTACCACTGCCTCTCAAACCCAGCTTTAATGGTCCTATTCCAGGGCGCAACCCCTATTACCCTCAACCCCTAGCTGCCCATTGGACTTACTGTACCAGCTGCCCCTGGTGCTGCCCTCACCCCACGACAACTTCAGGCACATTGGTAAATAGTTTCCTAGGATCCACGAGAAAACTCCAGCCTTGCCCTCAGGACCTCCTAGAATGAACACCAGGCTGCCTACCCAAGTTTAATCCTCTTCTCTACTCCTGCTTGAACCCTCCCTCTTCCCTTTACCCTCCAGTCATTCTGGATGATCCTTCCCCAATTCCTGATCACCTTCCTACTTCTGTTTATTGTGGCTTATCATGTGCCAAGTCCAGAGTTTCAAGTTCAGTCACTTGATGTGATATAAACTCAAATGGCAGTTTGTTCTGGTAAGATAATGCACCTAGTTAGACCTAGTACCCTTCATGATGAAACATTATAAAGTTCATTGGTTAATAATTTCCCCTTAGATCTAAAACACCTTTATTGGTGTCCTGCCTCACAAATGATCAAAATGAGGAATATAGTGTCCAAGAAGAATGAGACAGTGGAGCAAACTTCAATGTTACGCAACATAAAGAAAATACATTAAGACATAGCAGTTTCAGTGGAAATAATGAGTACACCCCAAGTTTACTTACAGCACTATAAACACAGCCAACAAATTATAATGGTCTTGATTTTCTAGGCCAATGGTCATCAAAGCATGAACTAGTGAACCGTGGGGAGACACATACATTTTTCAGAATTTTACAAAGTTAAAATTCTTCCCATAACAATGATGCTAGTGGATTTTTTCACTGTCGAGGTTCTCTCATAAGCATGAACTTTCCAGAGGTAGCCAATGTGTGATAGCACAATAGACTGAAGAAACAGGTAAGAGAATCCAATTCTCTTCTATTAAGCTGAGAACCAAAGAGAAGGTAAAAATGTGAAATGATGCCATTCTTTTCACTGAATTTTTCTTTTGCAAAATTTCACAAAAACTTGAAAAAATTTTCTCACATGATTTATGTTCATGTGTAATTGGTTATTATATTGACCAATAAGTATAACCTAGTTCTCATTCTTAATTTCACATGTGATGCATATGACACACATAACCCATGTAAATGAAAGAAAATAGGTCCTCAGGCCAAAAACGTTTGAGAGCTCTGTCCTACTGATAAGGAAACAGGGAGAAAGATAAAAGAGGAGTAAAGTCCTTCCCCTTAGCCTGGGCCCCTACACCCAGCTATCTTGCTAGAAACTGCATATGGCCTTCTTCCACAGCTGTGCTGACACGATACATTGTAACCTTGAACAGCTAACTACCAAGTCTGCTTCTGCTTGCTTACTGCTGCTTTTCTCAGTATAAAAACCTCAACCACCCTGAGCGCGGGGCCTGCGCCATTTTGGAGATGTCTCGGTGCTGGCCAGCTAGCGTGATAAACCTTCCTTTCCTCCAACCACCTGGGTTTGAGTCTTATTCTCGCTGGCCAGTCATCCTGTCTGTAACGGTTTCTGCAACACTACGAGACGCATGACTGTCCTTCACTCCCAGCCACACAAAACGCATTCCTGTCACCCTATCCCTCCCGCAGGCTGAGGGCAAAGCCTCATTTGAAGCCCTCAGGAAGGAAAACATTTCTAAGGCAGTCACGGTCACTCCACCCGTCCCCCCATCCCCATCAAGCCCCCCTTTGCCGCCCTGTCTGGAGAAGACAAGCTGAGGCGGAAGTGAACAAGGACGGCGCGGTGGGCGGGGCGAGAGTAGGCGGAAGCACCCTGCCCGCACACAGCATGGGAGCACTGCATGCTGGGATGCGCAGGTGCCCTCGCCTCAACCAATGGGATGCGGCCACGTCACAGTGGCGGGCGCCCCGGCCTCAGCAGCACCCCAGCTGCCAGCTGCGCCCCTCGCCCCGCCCTGGCCCGCGGGCCGCCCGGCCCGACAACATGGTGGACTACTACGAGGTGCTGGGCGTGCCCCGGCAGGCCTCCACAGACGCCATCAAGAAGGCGTACCGCAAGCTGGCGCTCAGGTGGCACCCTGACAAAAACCCCGGCGACAAGGAGGAGGCCGAAAGGAGGTTCAAGCAGGTGGCCCAGGCCTACGAGGTGCTGTCGGACGCCGGAAAACGCGACATCTACGACCGCTATGGCGAGGCCGGAATGGACGATGGCGGCTACCCAGGAGGCCGCCCCTGCCAGGACGAGTTCGTCTTCACCTTCCGCGACCCCGCCGACGTCTTCAGGGACTTCTTCGGCGGCCGCGACCCTTTCTCCTTTGACTTCTTCGGAGACCCGCTGGACGTTTTGGGGGGCCGGAGACGCTCCCGCAGAAGCAGATTCAGGGACTCGGAGCCCCTCTTCTCCACCTTCGCTGCATTTCCAGCTTTCGATGATGACTTTTCTTTTAGCAGAGGATTCACGTGCTGCGGCTCCCTGGGAAATGAAGGCCTTTCCTCCTTCTCCATGTCCTGTCGCAATGGTGGGACGGGCAGCTTCAAGTCCATGTCCACGTCCACGGAAATAGTCAGTGGCAAAAAAGTCACCACCAAGAGAATCGTTGAGAACGGCCAGGAGAGGGTGGAAGTGGAGGAAGATGGACGGTTAAAGTCCCTGGTGATCAATGGCAGAGAGCGCTTGCTACACATGGACCCAAGCAATGCCCACTGACTAAAACAGCAGGACATTTGAGGAATAGCAAGGCCTTTTCTTTTAAGATTGCAAGTGAAGTCTCCTTTCAGAACAGCAGTAACCAAGAATTTATAAACAGTTCATGCCAGCGACTATTTGTAGTTATTGTTGGAACCATAAGAAAGGATCACCAAATCTCTAATCCTAAAGCAGATGAACATTATTTACTGGTGCCAGGGAGAAATGTTCACAACAGCTCCATTAAACTTACATTTTCCCATTTTGTTGGAAATGTGAGCCAGGTAGCTTGCTCAGAATCATATAACTTCAATTTTTTTTTTAACCGTACTTGGCTTACAGTTGTACATAAATGCTGGTGATATAAGAAGAGTTGACCATTGTTTAAGTAAAATGTAAAAGCTATCTTTTTTAAAAGCAGGTAAGCCGAGGAAAATGGGTGTAATTAGAGTTCTATGGCTACTGTAATAAATTACCACAAACAGGTTGGTTGAAATCAATGCACATTCATTCTCCACGGTTTTGATGAAAGCAGTCTGAAATACATTTCACTGGGCTGAAACCAGGACTCTGCTTTCTTTCTGAAGGCTGAGGGAAAAATATTTAAGCCAATACATCAAGGTTACCTGATTGGTTAGTGGGATCTAAGGACTACACTCATTCCCAATTTGGTTCCACAATTATAGCAGTTGCTGGAAATGAAAAGAAGCAATTACCTAAGGCTACATCAACTTCCCATTGCTATGCAGGACACATATCAAAGTAGCTTGACAAATGCTAGGTTTCAACTGTCATGTTGACTGGCTGAGACACCAAACACACAGCTGAGAATGTCCATTCTGTTGTCACATTTATACCACACGTGAATTTCTTTGGGCGTTGTTGCCTTGGGACATCTACCACCAAATGGCTCATCTGCCATGAAAATGATTGCACAAGACACAAAAGTAAAAGGGCAAGTGAAATAGGCTAAAGTGCAGCAAGTTCTACATTCTCTGCAGAGGTCACAGGGCCTGAGTACATTGTCATACAGTAAGACTATGTGAGAATGAGCTTGGATACCCTACTGTGCTCTTAAAATCTGACCTGCATAGTATGGTAGACAACCCATGGCAGGAAAGTGGAATTCAGCACTGTCCCACTGGGTCTGGGACATCTGGTGAAACCACATCAAAGGAATGGTCACAAAGGGGCCTGGACAGCTGCTTCCTATATGATAAGTGAGCATGAAATATCACAATAAGACTAACTACCACAGCTTGAGTTTGTCTATTCATGTTCCAGGGAATCCCTCCAATGAAGATATTCGTGGCTTGCTGAGTGGGTTTAGTGAGGGGGATGTGGGAAGTTAGTAGATGGGAAGGAGCAAGCTCAATTCTATGGTAGTTTTGTGTGGTAGTGTGGTAGAAATGACCAAATAGAGTGTGTTGGTTCTATCCAGTGGGTTAAAACGTGACCAGCAAAGGGTTCTGTGGTAGGCAAAGAGCCTGGCATACCAAGATCATTCAGAGGTCTCTGGCTAGTTTTAATAGTTGAGAGGAAACAACCACATCAGGCATGATATATCTGGATAGGTACTACCATGAGTGGACAGATTGCATTTCACAGAAGTATAAAGCATTTTTTTTTTGGTAGTGGGGCTTGAACTCAGAGCCTCCACCTTGAGCCACTCCACCAGCCCTATTTTTGTAAAGGGTTTTTTGAGATAGGGTCTCATGTACTGTTTGCGTTGGCTAGCTTTGAACTATGATCCTCCTCATCTCTGCCTCCTAAGGAGCTAGGATTTCAGGTGTGAGTCACCAGTGCCCAGCTAAAGCATTTTATTTAAAAATTTTTCAGATTTGAAAATCTCTTTTGAAAATGCCTTAGCGCAAAGAAAACATATTACTGCCAGCCTGGTCTACACAGGGGTTTCAGGAGAGCCTGGGCTAGTGTGACCCTGTCTTGAGCACGCGTGCATACACATACACACACAAAACAAATTTAAAGAAACAATAATGTAAAAAGAATCAGCTTACACTAAATGGGAGGGGAAAATACTAAGAATATGTATGTTATATGAAAGGAAAAGACTCTTACAATGAGGCTATCAGATTAGAGTTTATAAAAAAAATTATTTGAACTTTGTGAACAAATTTCTCACAGAAAATTTTAATCTTAAAGCACAGAGATGGAGGGTCATGGTCTGAGGTTTTCCCTGGAAAAAGCAGGACCCTATCTGAAAAAGAACAAATGCAAAAAAGGGCTAGTGCTTGCTCCCCAAGCATAAGGCCAAAACCTTAGTGTTACCAAAAAAGTAAAACATACATCCAGGCCAGAGTCGTAAAGAGACATGATTAGTCATGATAATGTTCTTGATTTTGTTTGTCTTTAAAAGTGTTGTGAACACCTATATACATGTTGCTACTTATTAAACTTAAACCTCAGGCAGACAATATTTAACTACTAGGATAAAACGTTCACTAAAATGCCTTGAGCCTTACATTTTTTCCATTTTTTTTTCAGATTCAAATCATGTAGCCTGTTCTTAATCATTTAACTTCAATGTTTTGGTCCATAGTGGCAAAAGATATGAATATATCTTTATTCATCTAAATCTTTATTTATCTAAAATAAATCAAAGATGGCCTTTATTTGTACACAACTGCTGGTGCTATAAGAAGCCCTGATCATTGTCTAAGTAAGATATGAGCTTAGGCTTTTTTGAATGCAGGCAAACCTAGGAAAGTAGGTGTAACTGGTTTCTTATGAGTGCTGTAACAAATCACTACAAACTTGCTGGCTTTGATCAATGCACATTTTTCTCTCCAGGTTTTAGATGCCAGAGTGTGAGATGCATTTCACTGGGCAGAAAGCAGTGTTACAAGTACAACGCTTTCTCTGAAGATGAGGGTAAAATACTTTAAGTCAGTTCCTCAAGATGACATGATTGTGTTGGAGCCATCTTGGCCATTTTCTGGGATTTGCTATATGTCTAGAATTTACCTTGGTTTCCCCACACTGAATCTGCAAGCAGCTTTCTGCTACCTCTGCAATATTGCACGTCCCCAGCTAGCCCTGCAAGGTTTCCTGTAACTGTACCCACATTTTATAAGGGGGTGTAACCACCTTGTTTTCCTGTAACTGGCAAAAACCCTGTATACTGCAAAAAAAATAAAACAAACAAACAAACCCTGGTTGCATAACCAACCCCCCCAGGGGTTATATAACCGATACCTTCACACTGATCAAGGTTCAGGGCTTTGATAACTTCACCGAGTCTGCTAGCATAATAAAATTCCTGCTTCCTGCAAAGTGGTCTTGGTGACTTTGTTTCCCTTGCCATTTCCCGCAACATTTCTGGTGCATTGGCTGGGAATGGGAGAGACCTTAGTTGGCATTTTTGCCTCCCTGGTGGTCGGGCTGTGGCCCAACTCCTGAGGACGCAACCCAGCCAAGGCACCACTAGACACTTAGTCCAGATGGCTATGGAAGCCTCCCATGAAGACTGAGGCCTCAGGTCTGTACATGCCAACGGAACCTGGATAGAGACCCTAGGAACCAGGAAAATATGGAGTGGCGTCCATCTGGAACAGGTAGGACTGGGTCCATCAGAATAGGCCCGTCCATGAGAGGATAGATGAGGGGCATGATCAACTCCTAAGGTTCCCACCAGTACCCTTGAATCTGGTTTTTTAGTTTTTGTGATTATTCAAGGGGAAGCTGGGATACATTCCAGACAAGGTTGGTTGAATGTTATGATGTGCAACTGAGAGCATGAAAGGAGTGTGACTTTGGTCACCACATAGTGTGTGGAGTACATTTCCAGAAGCCAGAGATGCTCTCATTTGGTCTAGGGTGATCCCCCTTGGGGCACCAGTCCAGGGTTTGTATAGATTGGACTTGCTATGGCTTTAAGACATCTGAAATATCTCTGTGAGGAGAATGGCTAGGGATGGATGGATGGATGAAGCGAAAATTGTCTGTCTTCCTTTTGTGTCAGAAACTGAGGACCCCCTACCTCATTTCCAAACTCCCTGATCCTCTTGTACCTTGTCTCCATATGGGTGGGAACCAAAGTAAAAAGACTCCTTTACAATGTACGCTTGACAACTTCAAGAGAGGGTACAGGTGATTATGGTGTAGAGCTCACACTCCAGAAACTTTGGAAATTCTGTCAAATAGACTGGGTGTCCTTTAAGGTTGGATGGCCTTCAAGGGATCTCTAGATTGAGAAACCATGTGTAGGGACTATCAGATAGTGTGACAGGGACACCAGGTCATCCTGACTAGTTCCCCTACGTAGATATATGGCAGACATTGGCAGCTCATCCTCCTCCTTGGCTTAAGAAATGCTTTAAAGACAATTGTAAGATTATGATGGCAAGGGCTACAAATACTGGGACTCTTAAAAGAAAGAAAAAAAAAAGAGAGAGAAAAAGCTCCTCCCCCAGTGCTCCAGGCTGATCCTGACCTGTTTCCACCGCTGTATGCTCCAGTTTATCTGCCTGTGCCTTGGCCACCCCTGCCTCTGGTGGATCCCACAACAGACTCAGAACCTGAGGATTCAGGAGACCCCTCTTCTCCTCCCTCATTAGGAGTTTCAACCAGCCCCCCTGCAGAGTCTGTAGCTCACCCAAAAATCTGCATGGTAGCATTCCAGATGTCCCTCAGGGAGACCAGAGGGCCCATGCGGTATAATCCAAACTATGAGCTGCAGGGAGGTGGGCTCTTGTTCCTTTATCAGCCCTTCACCACCATGGACCTCCTAAACTGGAAAAAATAATATCCCCTCATACACTGAGAAGCCACAGGCTATGGTTGACTTGATTCAGTCCATCATCCAAACTCACAATCCAACCTGGCAGGACTGTAGGCAATTGCTCCAAACACTCCTCAGCATGGAGGAGTGGAGACAAGGTGTCCAGGCAGCCCTTTATTGGCTTGAGGTTCATGTCCCCAGTGGGACAAATGATGTGTGAGCCTATGCCCAGACAGCTGTTCCAGAAGCTGAACCTGCTTGGGACCCAAATGAAGCAGAAGGCCAAGACAATTTACATAGATATAGAGAGGCTCTGATGGCAGGTATAAGAGGAGGGGGAAGAAAGGCCATAAACATGAACAAAGTCTCAGAGATCTTACAGAAGTCTGAAGAGAGCCCAGCACAGTTCTATGAGAGACGATGTGATGTATACCATCTATATTCCCCCTTCAATCCTGAGGCCCC